CCCGTGTTGGGCAGAACACAGATAGCCCCTTGTGTAGCTGTGTGCTTAATTACAAACAAACCATTCCACCACGACTTTTTTATCGAATTATTTTAATATATCTTACTCGACCCTCTGTATATGGGCTCAGTTTCGAATAATTTAATTTAATGTTTCGAAAGTAAATTAAATGGGTCATAACTGTTTCATTAAATGTATTATTGAGTTTCATTAAATGTATTATTGAGTTTCTAAAACAAAGAAATAAATTAACTTATGAATAGTTTATAACCAAATAGATAATGAATGATTATGATCGAAGCTAAATGACTTGTGAAAGAATAGATAAATGTAAAGTATATAACATAAGTGAATTGGTAAAAACATGATGCTATTGTTAATTTCTTATAAAGGAGGGTGACATAACCGCTAACTTTTAGAAGATTATAGGAGGAAAAGACTATAAATCAAAGTCCTGTTTTCAGTTATATTTTGAATGCTCCACCACAAAATTCATCTGTTCCAATGGGGTAAGATTAAGAATGTTAATGTCTTTATAATTTCATATATCATAGACTTTATCAAAATATAACGTTTGTGTTGGACTATCCAGTATCAAGAATAATTATAGAAACTCTAAGGAGTTCGATAAAATGTTTGACATTTTTTGAAAGTGTAATAAACCCTTGTAGATTAGCGCACTTCTCACCACTCCGCATTAACTTGTCATAAAAGGAAATGGCCTGGCATGGCCAGGTGGTTAGGGCGCTCGACTCATAATCTAAGGGTAGCGGGTTCGAATCCCCGTCACACCAAACATGCTCGCCCTTTCAGCCGTGGGAGCGTTATAATGTGACGGTCAATCCCACTATTCGTTGGCAAAACAGTAGTCCCAGAGTTGGCGGTGGGTGGTGCTGATTAACTGCCTTCCCCTCTAGTCTTACACTGCTAAATTAGGGACGGCTAGTGCAGATAGCCCTCGGGTAGCTTTGCGCGAAATTCAAAACAAACAATAAAAGGAAAAATGCTTCTATTTTTATTTATCCGTTTTCTGTGTAACAACTGAAAGACCTGAACAAAACTTTATAAAATTGTAGAGAGTTCCTTATTTTAGGGTTAAAAAGTGTTATCAATCTTATTGTGATGTAATATCACACGAACCGATGACATAATCCTGTTTTTTGTTAATTTCGTTCTTAGACTATTTTACCAATGTTAACTGACAAACTAATATGTTTCTTACAAAATACTGGATATTAATGTCACTAAAAATTACTATAATATTTTTTCGTAGCTCATTTTTCATTTTTCAGGACTTTGTTTCTAACAAACGATATTTTTGGATCACGAGGACCTCAAACTTTCTGGTCATAAGAAAAGTGCCATGCTTATTTCTTTATTGCACGATCCATAATTCATGTAGTTCAGGGATTCCAAATAGTACGTTTATATATATATATATATATGTCATAAAATAACTTGACAAGGTATATGAATAATTGAGCATATATAAAATTATTCAACATTTTGTCCCTGTGTAATTTCACTGATGCTAGTATTCCAAAAAACATAATCATATTATTCATATGTGATGTAATAACTATGAACAATGCAGCATATAATCAACAATTACTACCTACATACAGTCAGTTCATGAATATGTCATGATTTTGTAATCAAGAAGATCTTAGAGGCCATCATAAATAAAACAAACGCAAGAGTCTATTGGAACTGTATTGAAGAATTTGATAGGTATGTGTTCGAATCAGACCGCTGTAATCAATTTCTTCCGCCATCTTGTTTTCTTGAAAACAGTCATAGATTTACATGTGTGGCTGGAAACTTGTAAATTTTTGATTTGTGAGCCTTCGTCAACTACATATTATTGTTTACTGTCTTGTTAACACTTTTTTAAAATATGGTCTCTTTCATCACAGTCATTTATTAATGAAATGTTTCTGTAATAGGTTTATTCATAAACTTGCATATTGCATTTTTCCCTCGAAAATAATATATTGAATTTAGTTAATTCCTTATAATTCTGACAGTCTGTGTAAATTCTGTATAAGACTATTAGATGATTGATAATAATAATAATAATGATAAGACTGTCTATAAGTATTTTATACTTTCCAAAACTTCTGTAAGTATATAATAATTACTATAATTGGTCATTTTTTCCATGTTTTTGTCATCTGCTATAAAACTAATCTAATTTCATCGAGTTATAAAAAAGTTATATTAGTAGCTCATGGGAATAACAAAATAAAGATACATTAACTTGATGAGGAAACATAACACGTGGTCAGTCTAGTGCTGTTTCACAACATGTCCTTAGCTGTAACCACGTAAACTTGATTCCTTGTTCTGTGGTGACAAGATAACTGGATATGCGCGAACTGGTAGCTGTTGTCGAAAAATTTAGTGTAATAAATCTTTAAGTCTAATGAAACTATCGCGTTTACTACAGTCAGAGCTGTTTGTAAACGTTTAATAAAATAGCCAGTTGATGAGAGTACTAATTAGCATATACTTTAGTGGCGTGTGTTGATATTACTGGATTTAACTGTGTACTCGTTTCAAGGTCTCTGATACTCGTGGAATCACTATACAAATATTACATTATACATGTAACTGGTAACTTTGTATTATAGCATTTCTAACATACAGGTTTTATAAAACAAATTAAAAACCCTTCTCATTTTCAACTTATTTCATTATATAATAACATCACTGGCGTCCCATGGCGGCAACAAGATTATGGTGCTTGTGATATTAAGTACTCTCAGGAATATTTCTTAAACCTCTGATTTAAATAAATTGTTTTATATTATGATAATGAAATTATTCCTTTATTAATAATTAACCTTTGAGCTATCCATGATGATTCCTGTAATGCAAAAAGGCTTACATTATTTACAATCTTGAGACAAGTAAAAATGGCCTGGAAAAACTAGAGCAATATCAGTTAGTTTCATTGGGTGTTATTGATACAGTTCTATGTTATCAGTTGATATCATTGAGTGTTATAGATACAGTTTTATATTATTAGTTGATATCATTAAGTGTTATAGATACAGTTATATACTATCAATTGATATCATTGAATGTTATTGATACAGTTCTATATTATCAGTTGATATCATTGAGTGTTATTGATACACTTCTATGTTATCAGTTGATATCATTGAGTGTTATTAATACACTTCTATATTATCAGTTGATGTCATTGAGTGTTATTGATACACTTCTATATTATCAGTTGATATCATTGAGTGTTATTGATACACTTCTATATTATCAGTTGATATCATTGAGTGTTATTGATGCATTTCTACATTATCAGTTGAAAAATACTTTAAGAGTTTTTATTATGTATCCTGGTTCAGTTGTAGAAAAATATGTAATCATAAATAGAAAATACTGTTAATACAAAGCATGCTGTATACCTGTTCGGTTAATGAAAGAGACACAATTTGTTTGTTTGTTTGTTTGTTTTTAGAATCATTTGATTATCTACTGTATCCACCGCGGAGAATCGAGCCCCTGATCTTAGCATTATAACTCCCTAGACTTACTGGTTTTTTTCACGAGGGGATGGTACAGTTTGTTTGTTTGTTTGTTTTTAGAATCATTTGATTATCTACTGTATCCACCGCGGAGAATCAAG